TTAACCCCGGGAAGGTTTAATGCTTTGTTAAACGGGTCACCGGACTGAAGAGCCGCTCTCCCTTGCGGTTTTCGCCTGCCTCGGTTTCTCCTTGGGGGCTGCTGGTGCCTCTCGGGGCAGCTTCTTTCGTGCCGGGTCGAGCAGCTCGGCCGGATGAATTTCAGGGCTTTAACACGTAGCTCCTCCGCCGTAATGCAAATGCCGCTGTCGGCGAGGACGATGGCAGTCACCGGTCTCTAGTTGAGTGGTTTTTGGGTGATTTGCTGAATTTCTCTCTTCAGTTTCTACCACTTGGCACAGTAACGATGACGACGTGTACCGGGCCCCTCCGATCGACCGCTCCATCCTGCCCACCGCCCCGCGGGCTGCTCGGGAACCCAACATAGACAGAAGCCGCCTCCCGAAATCCCCCCCCTACACCGCCTTTCTGGGAAACCTGCCCTATGACGTGACGGAAGAATCCATCAAGGATTTCTTCAGAGGACTCAACGTGAGTAACGGCTCGGAGCCCGGTCTGGGCCGCGGGGCAGGGCGGTGCTGGGGGTAACGTGGGCCGTAAAGACCGTGATTTTTGGGTGCTGCAATCCCCGTTGGCGCTCCGCCGGCTCCATGCGTTGGTTCCTGCTCCGCTGCGGATCGGCCGAGGCAGCTCCCGGCTCCGGCAGGTGTGTTTGTGTCCGGAGCTGGTTGTGAGCGGCCGTTTCCGGACGGATTGCTTGATCTCAGGTGAGTCGCTCGACTACCAGCAAGCAAACGGCCGTTCCCGCTGTGGTGGCGAGGGAGCAAGAACCCTTTCAAAGCAGGCGGCTGGTGTTTCTCCCGTTGAAGCAGGAGGTTGGGCTGGATCTTGGGGTGTTTTTGGGTGCCCAGCTGGTGCCGAACGCCCACCCAGCTGCTCACTCGCTCCCCCTCAGCGGGGCAGGGGGAGGAAATAGGATGAGAAAGTTTGTGGGTCGCAGTAAAGACGCAGAGATCGCTTGCCAATTAGTCACAGGCAAAACAGTCTTGACTTGGGGAAAACCAGATTTATTACCCATTAAAATAGACTTCCTATTGCTGTTACCTGCTCCAGCACCTGCAGCTCCTCCTCCTCCTCTGGAATCTGTATTCCCTTTGCTGTTTCTCACTTTCTTTCCGCCTCCTCCTCTGCCTGTCTGGCATTTTCTGCCCTTTCCTAACTGTAATTTCACGGAGGCACCACAGACTTTGCTGATGGGCTCCGGTTCAGCCTCCGCCGGGTCCGGTCCTCTCGAGAGGGGGTTTCCCAGCTGGAGCTCGCTCAAGATACGTCCTTCCCTGTAGCCGAGAGCAGGAGACGCTCCCGGGGAGCCTGCGACTGCCACGACAATATTCTTTTTTCCCAGCTTTAAGAGCGTTGGAACCCTTGGGTTATTCAGGGAGAAGGCAGGGAGGGCGAAGGAGGGACAGCGAGCAGCGATGGGAAATGGCCGCTTCCCTCCCAGAAGGTCAGCCTGGGAGACGCAGCCACGTTTCCCCGTGGGTCAGCGAGCCGTGCTGATGGCAGCAGATAGCTCCCCGTGGGCAGAGCCACCCTGCTTACCTTCATCTTTTCGTTTCAGCTTGTTTTTCTAACCTCTCGTGCTTCCTGAGGCGGCATCCGCGCCCCCCGAGAGGGTAATAACGTGGGTGAAACCCCTGTAGAGGAGGAGGAGGAGGAGGGGGCTGAGAGGCTGCGGCCCCGGCCAGATCTAGGCAGAGGGGTCAGCGCTCCGCAGGAGAATTAAGAAGCAAAGCACGATGGCGGCCCTCGCCCTTGCAGAAATCATTTCCTCCGCATCCGTCGCTCGTTCTCCCTTCCCAGCCTCTCCCGGCGGCGGGTCCTCCAGCCGGGGCACGTTTGACACCGATCTGT